CTTTTCTTCTGCATATAAATTCGTTGTACCAGTAGTTCGTTTATATTATTATTACACATAATATTTTAGTCATTTTTAAATCTAAATCATATAGATAACTTTTAATTTAATTTTCCTTTACTAGTACATTGTAAATTTCTACTTGACAGTCTGGACTAGTCCATAAGGACCATTTCCATGGTCCACACCGGAATTACTACTATTGTATTTTGTTTATAAGTTCTGTAAGTAAGTAAGTAAGTAAGTAAGTAAGTAAGTAAGTAAATAAATAAATAAGTAAATAAATAAGTAAGTAACTAAGTTAGTAAATAAGTAAGTAAGTAAATAAGTAAGTAAATAAGTAAGTAAATAAGTAAGTAAAAAGATAAATAAGTAAATAAATAAATAATTATGCAAATTAGGTAATTAATAGGTACTGATATTACCCTAAAAACTATCAGGTCTGTGCAGTGTCCTATGACAACTGTATACCAAGTTTCATTGAAATATGATGATTAGTACTTGAGATATCAGTATATAGAAAAGCTGAAAATTGACTTATCATTATGCAAATTAGCTAATTAATATGCACAGATTTACCTAAAACTCATCAAATCTGCGCATTAGTTCAGAGCATCTATGTACCAAGTTCCATTAATATCCAATGACTGGTTGTTTAGATATCAGTGGAACAGTCATGGAACAGCTAAAAATTAGCTAATTATCATGCAAATTAGGTAATTAATATGCACAGATTTTTACCAAAAACTAATCAAATCTGCGCACAAGTTCAAAGCATCTATATACCAAGTTTCATCAAAATCCAATGAGTGCTTCTTTAGATATCAATGGAAAAGTCATGAAACAGCTAAAAATTAAATTATCATGCAAATTAGGTAATTAATATGCATATATTTTTACCAAAACTTAATCAAATCTGCGCATTGGCCCAGAGCATCTATGTACCAAGTTTCTTCAAAATTTGATTAGTGGTTCTTGAGATAACGGTGGAACAAAAAAGTGAAATACATACAGACAGGGTAGCTGCAAAGACTCCCTTTTGTGCTTTGCACACGGGAGTCAAAAAAGAAAAAGTGTATACTATAATCGGGACTATGTTGTGAATTTGTGATGAAAAAATAGAACTGGTGGTAAAAAGATTAAGGAAAATATATAAAAAGTTTTGTAACTTAGTAAATTTCATCTTTCAAATATCACACACCACTTTCTTTTTGTATATCAGCTGCATTTACAAGACCTCTGTCAATAGCGTCTAACCGTTTGACATTCGTTAACATAACTTGTTCATTCTTTCTTTTCATCTTTTTTCTTTTGAACAGTCGTCCTTTATTGGGATCATTTGGATTCAGGGCATAACGCCCGTACCACCATATCAAAAGTCCAAAAGTAATAAATCCAGCTATTGACGGTACAAATGCAGTGGCCTTAATCGCTAAAGCATAATCATAGAATCGAGAATTTGTACTGAAGTCGTCAGTTGCGTATGTTCTGTTGGTTAAAGGATTGGTGTTCGTTCTTCTCCATTCGTAGGTTAAGATAGTATCGTTATGAAACGTTAATGAATCGCTATCTGTTACAGTCCATACTTTGTCGCTATTATCTACGTATTGTCCGAAATCATATGGTAAATAAAAAATTTGATTTTTCCACATGTTCAGATCCAATATCATAACCAAGAAAATGATACCATAGTTAAACCATTTACCTGGAATACCAACATAGTTAAGGTTAATCTGAAGTGTAATAAAACATAATTATTAACACTTTGTTAAAGAACTCACTGTAACACTCCTTTATCTTTCCACCATACTTCAGACATACCTTGACAAATTTTTATTACAAAGTCAACTAATTGTGTTAAAGTAAAAAGTCATGACGAATGCACGCTGATTTTTCTTCTGTAGTAAAAGATCCCAAAATTTTCTTCTTTTACCCACCTGTGATATGTACATCCCATGAATCTCGTCTAAGACATGCTGGTAACTTGATATCTATACCAACTGTGTTCAGTACTCACCTGTGATATGTACATCCCATGAATCTCGTCTAAGACATGCTGGTAACTTGATATCTATACCAGCTGTGTTCAAACCTGGTAACTTAATATCTATAGCAGATTCAAAATGAGGAAAATCCCAATCCTTGAAAAAAATGAAAAAAGTAAATTATACTATATATTTAATTTCAATAATATACTGGTACATCATTTGTGGGTAGGTTTCAGTCTTGCATAATATTTTCATATTTAGTCATCAAATCTGCCATTTTTTCTCATCCTTGTTCATAGCTTGTCATACTATAATCACTGCACTCCAAAAAACTATGCATTACTCGAAGACTAGGAATGTTGACTGGTGAATATTGGTTTGGGAATATAGTAAATTAGTATAGTAACAGAAATCGATTGGTACAAATTTTGGTATACATATATACTGGCGACTTTGTTTGGTAAAATATACTGGCGACTTTGTTTGGTAAACATATACTGGCTACTTTGTTTGGTAAATATATACTGGCTACTTTGTTTGGTAAATATATACTGGCTACTTTGTTTGGTAAATATATACTGGCTACTTTGTTTGGTAAACATATACTGGCTACTTTGTTTGGTAAACATATACTGGCTACTTTGTTTGGTAAACATATACTGGCTACTTTGTTTGGTAAATATATACTGGCTACTTTGTTTGGTAAATATATACTGGCTGACTTTGTTTGGTAAATATATACTGGCTACTTTGTTTGGTAAACATATACTGGCTACTTTGTTTGGTAAACATATACTGGCTACTTTGTTTGGTAAACATATACTGGCTACTTTGTTTGGTAAAATATACTGGCTCTTTGTTT